TCAGAATAATTCGTCGCAATCAGTTCATCTTTCTAGAATACACACTGCCATGCGTTTATTAGAATAGTACATGTTTGTCATAACATTTACAGATAAACAGATTTCAAGAAAAGGAGATAAAAAATTCTCTGCTAAGCATTTATTTTAAGGTAATTTACGCTGGAAAAAAAAGGTAGCAAACCTTTAGTGAGTAGGTTAAACCAAAGTTTTGTGTCCTGAATACGCAAGAAATTTCATTCTGTCTTTTTTGTTACGATTGCGTGAAAGATTTTGCTCGTAAAGGGTTAAATGTGAAATTATTACCATTCTGCAAATTGGTCTTCGTCGAAAAATGTTTGCCAGAAAGGCTGCAAATGTCACAAAGAATGCTTCTTATTTTAATACACTGTTTGCAAATAATATTACCAAAAAGATTCTTTTCAGCAAACATGTAGTAACTTCGGAAAAATTACAAGCATTCAAAGGTGGTTATATGATTAATGTACTAAGATGCCATTATTCTCTGATTAACCTGGGCCCACCAGCGGCCGAGCGGTAAAGACGCTGAACACTGCTAGTTCGGTCCGAGGTTCGAATTCCGCGAACGGGTTGGCTGCATGGGCGTTTTCGTGGTTTTTCCCGTGTGTAACATGTATACGAGCCAGTTTCCCTTAGAAAGTCCTCCACGAAGGCCTCCCTCCCTTTAGGCAGATAGCCCTCGTGTGCTTTGCCATAATTGAATAATCCTAATCCTCTGGTTAACTACTCTTTCTTTATTTGTTAAAGGAACTTGGGAGGTATATTATTTTTATGAATAGTTATTTTAATTTGTTAAGCTTTTCTGTCCCTTCTGATTTCCCTCGCGCTACCTCGCCAAGATGTAAATGAGTTAGGGTGAACGAGAGTGTATTTAAACTGAAGTAGTGAACGTGTTTTCGTTATTCAGTGCGCACTATGCTATTGCTACCAGCTGTTTGAATTTTGAATCTCGGCTTCTCATTCTTGCCCCCGAATTTAGTATCACGTCAGTGTAGGTTTCTAGGCAAACTGCTAGGGTAAATTAAATTGTGTAGTCTTACACTGCTAGTTACCTTTAAATAAAGTTTGTTAGATTATCTTCCTCACTACAAGTGATTGGTGACAGTATAAGCATGAAGTCCGCGCCGTCTGAAAATAATTGTGTGCAATAAAAGGGTCTTTTACACTCTTTCTCTGTTGTACTCATCTTTTAGTCTTTGCTGCAAGTCGCAACACAGACTTTCAAGTGGATCTAGTTGTAGTGCATATTAGCAGAAAGACTAGATCTTACAAGCTGATCAAATTCATGCGAGTTCAAATTATGATGATTTTCAGATTCAAGTAACTAAGAGTTGTATTTAAAACTATATTTAAGACTGCTTATTATGATATTTATATCACAAAAATCTTCCTTATATAATTAGCATTAAATATTTTAAATTATAGGTGAAATTAAACACTTTATTATGCAGAATACAAAATCGAAACATTCGTTAAAACATCCAATCTGGTTTGCAAAAAGTCTGTTATTAAAAACTCTGTTATATAAAAAATAATGTAATTTTAAAAATTAAAATCTTTCAGGAAAATTGTAAGGTATTGTCTTCCTCCGTACCGCTTGCCTTCGTGGTGTGATTGGAAGGCACATCCGGCTAATAATCAGAAGCTCCGGATTTTGAATCCCGATTAAGGCATAGCTCATTCTTCATCAGTCCAGCTTCAGCAAACGTATAGGCTCTACAAGTAGCATCCAAACTAAAATGAAGTGGACAATAATTCATCACCGCCAGGATTTGGCGATTGAGCCCTCTCCTGTCCAGTCACGCTTTAAGAGAGGGAGTATGTAAGATATTTTCTTCTTCCTTATTGCTCGCTTCGTGGTGCAATTGGAAAGGACGATTAGCTAATAACTGTAAAGTCCGGAGTTCGGATCCTGGCACGTTCACGGCTAAGTTTTTTTGTGTCCTGTTTCGACAAACCTAATGACTCTGCAGAGTAACATATATATTTAAAAGATTCAAACTCTGAGTTTTAGAAGTTTGTTTCAGGAAGAACAAAGATCTGCCTGTTTCAGGCAGAACAGGAACAGAGTGTTCAGGCTGAACACTCTGTTCCTGATATTCTAGGTTAAAATTCAACATCTTATTCCTAAAAGTTAATTTTACCTCCTGTTTAAGATATCAAAATAACTATAAAGTGGTATTTTAAAAGTAAATCTGTTAGGCCATAAATAACTAACTTTAACTTTCAAATCCTTTGACATTTTGTTCTTTGACTATGCACACTTTGACCCTTCCTTTTTGCACCATATTTTTGCATCAAACTGCAATTAAAAATAAATGCCATTAATCGCTTTTATAATAAAAATAAAATGAACTAAATATTGATATTCATTACTTTACAAATCAAAGTGCTGTTTAAATGGAGTGGCAATCTCTCTTTTTAAAAGATTGGTTGGTTTACGCAAAAGACTGGAAACTGATAATAAGCTAAAGCAAAAATACTTTTTAGATTAAGTGTGCTTTCTTTAGAAGCTTAAGAAAATACTCATATAGCTTTAAAATTAAATTAGTTAAAATGAAATCATAGCCAGTTTGTTAAAGTAAATACTAGTTTTATGCAATATAGTCCCAACTGACGGTTTGAAATTTATGTTTATGCTAATTATAAAGGTGATCTAATGTACATGACTAAGGATTATCATGTTACATGTAATTCAGCCTTTCTTTTTTTTTTTTTCAATTTAGAAATATCTCATACTGCAACAATAATTACAATTATTAGACACAAAATTATCAAGTCTTACACATTCTATGAGATATTAAATTATCTCCTATGATAATGTCACCTATATTTCGAATAACCGCTGTGAAAATGAATTTTGAAACTTGGTTGTTTATTTCCAACTAAATTATGAAATTTCCTGTGAAGAATTAGTAAACCCTATTTCATAATAATTTCTTATTATGTACATGCGATGCTAAAATATTTAAATTAAACTAGGGTTGTATTACCATAGTATGATTATGGGAATAGACCCTGAACTGGGAAGTTTTTTAAATATTTTTATGTAATATGTTTTAACTGCTGTAGATTGTTCGTATCTTAGAACTGCATAAGGCAGAACATTAAAAGAATATTTAAAAATATAAAAATCATTGAAAGTTAACAATTTGAAACCTCTCAAAGACATTTTACATGTCCTAATTATGTATTTCCATCTATCTTTACTTTGGTGGTGTATTTAATTATGGCAAAGCCACACTAGGGCTATCTGCCTAAGGAGAGGGAAGCCTTCGTGGAGGACTTTCTAAGGAAAACTGGCTCGTAGACACGTTACACATGGGAAAAACCACGAAAACACCAATGCAGGCAGCCCGTTCGCGGGATTCGAACCTCTGAACTACCAGTGCTCAGCGACTTTACCGCTCGGCCGCTGGTGGGCCCTATCTTTACTTTGGAAAGACCTTCCATCGAATTTGATATACAAAACAGAAGATTTAATACGAAACAATATTTTTTATTATACGAAGCTAACTTGAAAACATTATTCGACATAATATGAAAAATCAATTATATTTTAAAGTTTAAAATAAAACATTTTGTATCTTCATTACGCGCCTGCTTGATAACAGTGTATCTTTAGTTAGAAATATAACTAAATATGAAAAAGATTTGCTGTAAGTTCAGCCATATGATAAGCAAAAGAGCGAACCTTTAAGACACAGAACGATTTCTTAATTTATTCTCTTGAAACCTACAAAAATGGCCAATTTATTTAAATAAAACATGATGAAAAGTGTTGGGTGTGGGAATATGAACAAGATAAAAAAATTCGTAGCGTAGCATAACCCTTTCGAGAATGGTAAAAAAAATCAATTTTAAGGTTTTTAAAATTCCTTTTGGCAATATTAAACTGTTTATCATAAATCAAAAGTAAGATGTAAATTAAAATATCTTATGTAAGTGAAATATGATTTTCTACATTTGGGTGTTTGTTTGCCAAAATGAGAAACAACATTGAAAATTTGCTCTCATAACGATATCTTAATCAGCATGCCAACTTTTGTACCATCATCCTACATTTAATTAAGAAGTTCAGATTTAAGCTATTATAGTACAAAGAAAATCACTTTTAATTTCATTGAAAGTTTCAGTATGGAGCTATTAAATTTTAATTAGCTTCTAAGGAAATTTTTTGTCTAGAAATGACTAACCATGTTATCCTAATAATATTTGAATCAGATTTAAAGAATGGGAAAATGAAAATTTGCCAAAATTAGAATTCTTCATAATAACCGGTTTCTACTATGTATGAAACGCATATTTCTTACAGATATGATCTGACTTTTTAATTTCTTGCTGTTCAACTTAAGATAATTTATATAACAGTTAAAAGTTGCTTCAAGTAGACTAACTTAACTAATTCAATTCATTTGGTTAATTACGAAAACTGATCACTTAGAAGTTATGAAACATTATATTTTCTAATTACATTTCCTTCTTTAAATCAACTAGTTGAAATTTTTAACACAGCTTTAATTTCAAATTTTTATTACTTATGTTATGCTATGATCAAAGCGATATGCTATGATCCATTTATTAAAATACATCTTTTCTCAAACTGAATGTCATTGATCAAGCATGAGAAAATAAGAATATTTATGAAGAAATTTATAGAAATATTTAGTAAGATAAATCATTCACTCTTTGCTTGTTCGCTCTTGTTATGCCCTAAAGGGGAATAGAATTTAGACTGTTATAATTAATTATCTCTACACTTACATTATCTATATAATTTTTACTTGAATGATTTTTAAAAGAAAATCCCAGCTTTCTAGATTTCATCATGCAATTCTTCGATATTCTTATGCATGATACAAGCTGCAGTATTTCATCTAAAGCAAAATTAAATATGTGTATAGATAAAACTAACTAAATAAAAATATCCAATTTCTTTTCCATACTGCTAGTGTTTTATAATTTACTCTCAAAAACAAGAATGAGTGCAGAAAAGAGAACAGTTTTATTGTATTCTCTGGTTTACCGATTTACATGAAAAGTACAATCTTTGATAATTATACATTTAGCTGGGATTCTTTAACAACAGTGTAGAATTTACAATTTTAGGCTGATTTGTGGCCTCCGTATTGGATCCTGATTTCAGAGAAGGACATATTCGGCGTCTGGAACTGGCTTGGAGTTCTAGCCTTGATATGACGGTCGAAGGGGTAGCCCATAGCACGCTTGTCGGGGTATTTCTGATCCTTGGCTCCACAATAGCTCACAGCGTCAGAACACACAACTGTGGGTGGGGCATCCTCAACCTAGGAAAACAAATAGTTTTATGAATTTTGAACTAGTCATTTAATTACCTTTGTGTCAGAAAACGATTTGATGTGCATGCTTTAATACGAAATCATCAAATCTCATGAAAATTATGTTAAGTGCTTATTTTCATCTCGTTCATATTCATAGAAAATTTGATAGCTATGCAATAATAATAATACCCTTTTAATCGATAAGTTATCGAGTTAACGAAGTATCATTAAATCTATGATATCTAGATTCACACTGCGTAATAAATTATATCATGTAAATATACTCCGATAAGTTAACTTTTTCAAGGCTTTCAGGAAATAAGAACTAAGTATAAATTGTATCAGTGTTTGCTAATTAACTTATCACTTAAATAAAGCTTATATTTTGCCTAAATTCATGCGGAAAATTTTCAAACATCAGACTGTAGCCAAACTTTCATAGCGATCACATCTCGTAGGCGAACTCCCCAGAAGTGACCTATTTAAGCCTAAAATTTATTTCTAAGTCTAAACCGACGGTCATGTTCTAGACAGTTGCCTCAAAATAAGACTAAAATCGTTTGGAACTGTGGGTAGTCCATGTAGGAAGATTTCATTGTAATCTGATTTCATTATTTGTCGTGCTTCTCGTCAATAAGTTATTAAATCTTGAGAAATTATTACATCCGAGAAAAGCGCCGTATAATATAACTTGATTATTTTTATCATGTCTCCGCTTCTCAATGGCTTTATAGATGAAGAAAGACACCTTAATATGGATTATAAAGAAAAACGTTATACACACGTGTATATGTAATTTGATATTCTTACTGCATTCTTACTTTCTATCTCAAAATGCTATGTTATATCCTACTTAATAATTCAGTGCAAGACGAAACGTAAACATAAATTTTAGTTGGAAAGTTGCTATTACTGAATTTTGTAAACTTGTTTTCGTCAGGTACGTACCAATAAATCTTGGTACAATCAAAACCTCCAACTCGAAGGGAATGTGTAGTGTCTGAAAAGATTATCAGAGAAAACCTACTTGAGCTTCAAATTTTAAGACTGAGAACACGGTTGATGCCTTTTCAGTTCTGAAAGCGATCAATGGAAACATTTTATTAACAAAACTCCAATAAAATAGTGGCTATTAGCTAGAAATGAAATCTCGTAATTATTATAACTAACTAATTTGAAGTAATATATCGCCTATTCCACTCTCTGAGATCCGGTCATGAGATTTTTTTGTCACTTGGTATATATTAGCTTATAATTTAAGATATTTTGCTTTCTTACTTTCTTTAATAATATAAATGTTCTCTTAACAAATGTAAGTTTATGGAAATAGAGACTACACTTATTACACAAATTTAACTAATAAAAGTTGTTTAAATGCAGGTCTTCATGACAGATCCAAAAACCCGCGTATAAAAATAAATTCCATATGTTGCATTGTTTCTCTTCGCTTTCAGTTGTTAATGCTATCAAAATACCCATATCTCCGTTTGATTACATTAAAAATAGTATCCACTTGTAGCATTCATCTTTTTTTTATATTTTGATTTAACTTTGTTTTGGCTTGTTAAATTTTATCTAACTTTAAATTAATTAAGTCTTCAGTTAATGTTTTATTTTTCAGTTAGTTAAAATGACAAATATTTAAATAAAGCGTGTTTGAAAGAAACCTTTACATGAAAAGAAAACACGATTTACGAAAAAAAGCAATACTGATGCATAAGCTTAATTTTTATTAAAATGTTCTTCATAGATACAAGCTGCCTATGAAATATTATTTTCCAGGTCTCAGTTAATATCTACTTATTTATCGCAAATATTTTGACTACTGTAGATGTTTTTAAGCAAAAAGGAAATAACTCTTTAAATTTATTCATTTTTTATTCGATTTTTAGTAACATTCTTTATCAAAATTTTTTCTTATGTATCTTGATATTGATCTGCCCTTAACCATATTGACTGTAGATTGAAAATAGTTTATCACTATTATGGTCGCTTAAAAACGTAATATATATAATTTTTTTACATCATAAAATTAGTATAATTTTTTGTATTTCATAAAATACTTACTTTATCTAGCTCATAATCGGTCAGCATGACGAAGAGATGGAAGACCATACCACGTGGTGTTCCCCTGGGTACAAGCATATGCTCTGGCCATCCACAGCTGCAGTATTCATTGTTTACATCCGATAGACCTTCTCCTCGCTCCAATTCATCAAAAGTTGGTACGTGAGACAGAGTTACAGAAGATTCAACTGATTGCCTCTGGATAACATTCTTTCCAGGATTCACTAATTATCAGACAAAAAGGTATTATGAAAAGTCAAAAAGCAAAGTTAATTTGCTAAAGCAAATAACTCTGAAATAAATTATGTTTATTGGAATGGAAATGAATGCTAGTATTTAAAATACATTTTGCCATACAATATCAGGTTTGTTAGAAATTCATATTTAATGCAAGAGCCTGAAACCATTACATTGTTTTTTAAAAGATTCAGGAGTTTTTGTACAGTGCCATTATTTATTTTAGCGTTAACATTTTATCCCTTTAACATTTTTTTAACATTTTAAACAGTAACATTTTATCCCTAGAAGCCAATTTGTGGCCGAGTGACAGAAGTCGTGAAGCATTGGTAATTTGCATGGAGATGGGTCTTATGATATAATCAACTGGATATACAAGATTTTTCTAGCCTTCTTGACCTGTAATATAAACACAGGCCGATTTCCTTCAGAAGGTCCATCATGGAAGTTGCACTCTTATGGATTTTATTTGAGACCATTTTCTGCAGTTTTTTTTTCAGCTGATAGAAAACAATGTTATGAGGAAGAACATTAAAAAATATATAGTTTAAATTTTCGATATGTGTTTTAAGGGAACATGTTCATGTCAGAAATATTTCAAATATAAACTCAAAAGAGGTTCCTGAACAACGTAAATGTTAATGTAATAGGTGAACAAAGTCCCATTACCCTAAATTACACCGTTCGAATGAATTGCTTCTGGTTTATATTGACACATATAGGTAAAATTACACTTTATTATATTAAAATATTCTCAAAATTTTGTGTGAAAACCATTTACTTCACTGAAAGCATTTAAAGTGATCATTTGCTTTCTTTTTGGAACTGGGCATGTACAGAGTTTTGATGTTTCCTTTTTATATTAATCATCGAGTCGTAAAATGGAGTCTAAAAATGTGCTTTTGCCTATATTTTACGTTACTTTATAAAGGCAGAGAACTACCAATGAATGAATACGAGCTTTAAATTTGACACTTATATATAATTAATCTGAAATACAACTGTATTTATTCCGATAGCTTAGATGAAAGTGTGATTAAAATAACCTGCTATAAATTATGTGAATATCTGTACTTTGCAAAATCGGCATATAAGCTTTCGGCTTTACAAGTTTATGTAGAAACAATTAAATTATACATGAGAAAACACAGTATTTATGTTTAATAACCAAATATAGCGAATAACTGAAGCGCGTCCATTTAAGTAATTTTCAGTCTATTTCTAGCATCTAGTTCCATCAATTCTAACGCTGTTTCTCTGTATATTCTTTACTTCAAAAAACCTGAATCAAAACAAAAACGCAGCAAAAATTTGTAGTAAGTCTTTCTACGTTTATTTCATTTGTCAAATTATAAATATAAATTTTAAATATTGAAATAATAATGTTATTTTTCCACAATTTCTTTGCTAATTTTCTCGAGTGCCTTGTTGTCTTCCTTTGCCAAACAAACAAAAAACTCTGACAAAACCGTAACCTGATTCATTTTGCGAAGCTGTAAATACTATGCAGAAAGTTAAAATGAAATTACTTACGAACAGCGGTGAATTTGTCAAGTTCGATGAATAATCTCCTTTGGTCTTCTAAGATCAACCTGTTTCCTAACTCGTCATATTTGGGAGCAAGGAAAATACGGACGGTAGCCTTCTTCTGCGCACCAGAGGAGTTAGTAGCAGAAATGCTGTAGCTAAATGGCTCGTGATCCAAATGTTCATATTTAACCTTCAAATAATAGACTTCATTTAATCTTTTCAGGAAACAAAAGGAATTTATGATATTATTTACTCTGGAAAATTAAGTGATGTAATATTAGAAACATACTTGAATTCTATTTTTAAGATTGATTCCATGAGAGAGTTCCAGATAGGCGTCCTTACTGTAGGTATGGATGAGATTGGGAACTTTGGCGTTAACAGTGACATTCACAAGACGGACACCAGGGAAACTTAGCTATGGAAAAAATATATCATTGTGAATTTTTAGACATTAAAACGTATTATTTTAAATATTAATTTACATTAAACGTGTTTTTAACTTACTTCCTTGGATGAGTAGTATGGAAGACGAGCCTTATATTCCTGGAAAATGTTGTCCATCCATCTGTGGTAACGGTAGAAAATAGGATCCCTAAGAGCAGTAGATGTATCATCCATTACACCTGGATTTTCCTATGAAAGTATAAAAGTTGTAGACTTTCTCAAAACGTTGAAGTTACAAAATATAATTACTTCTGTCCACATTACGTTACAAAATATTGTAACTTCTGTGGATGATTTCGAACTCGAAATTTTAGACATTTATGAAGATTACCTTAAACCTTCCATCATGATCATGAATTTTGGCTACCATAACATGTCCCCAGTTGTGTAATGTTCCATAGTACCCTTTGTTGAGAGATTCATAACTAGATTCAATGAGAGCTCCGAGAATATCAAGCCCTCTCTCCAGGTCTAACGGAACTTCTTGACCATTGCTGTCGATAACCTGTCCAGTGTGGATAGCACTGAGGATTCTCTCTCTCCATCGTTCCATGTCTTGCACATCGACTTCACGGATATCTCTGAGGCTCATTCCTGCTGGTCGAGAGGCATAGTTCAGTCCACTCACCAAGGAGGTTAAATGAGCGGAATAGCCCTCTAATTTTTCTTCGAAGTTCTGGAAGGGAATCATCCTCTGGAGACCCACAGACAATCGGTCACAATCATACCTGTATTTACGAATAAAAGTTTCCGTCAGAAATATACTAACTTTCACTAGGGCTAAAGCTGTCACTTAGAATATTATAAGAATATGTATTTTCTGTAACTTTCGTTTATCAATTCTTGAAATATACATATACATATGTAATCATACCTAACTCTACGATTTTCCTCTTTGCCAAAACTCAGAATGACTCATTTTCTTTTGGAAATAAAAATTGAATTCAATGAAAAATATACAAAACTGTTTAATGTTTTCCACCGAGTACCTGATAGCGTCCAGTGTTTCCCAGCAATCAACTGGTAGCGCGCCGTTGCCAATGCTCACCCCCCATTGGGGTCAAAATTCAAATTAATAATTATACCATCTTTAGGAACCACTCTTAGAAAAGAATTAGTTCACAGAGGCGAGATATTCCCAAATTTACATTTATATTTGCATTTCTGTTGCTCCCTTGGTTACTATTTTAAATATGACTTCATTAAGAATAAAGTGACAAAGGTGAAAATTAGCGTATTATTCTTATAGTTAAAAATAAATTTATAGAAAGATAAATACATTATCCTTATTAGTTCAAGCCTGAATGTTTCATTCAGTTTCAGTAGTATACAGAAAATTTTTATACAGCACAGAATTTTTTTATAATTTAGGAAAATTTAATTTCAAAGCGTGTTTTATTTCATTAAAAACCTACTCTTATGAAGAAATTTATAATAAAATATAGCCTGTATTCAAACTGCTTAAAGCCTCCGAAAAGAAAAAAAAAATTAGAAAGAGCCTGATGCCAGCTAGTTTTCTTAATGTCTCTATGTGATGAAGTTTATAGATGATTAATTAGCCGGAGAAAAGATAAAATTAAGGTTATTTCATCAAGTTATCTGCCCGACATTTTCAGAAATTATAAAAAGTAATTTTACATGAAACTATAAGAGCTTTATAAAAGCTATTTTAATACCAAAAAAGTATTATTGCTGCTCTGAATCGGAAGTAGTATAAGAATTGAACATTGCGCTTAAATATTCTCATTTCTAAATCCTTATACTCGTAGTTTATAAACTTTTCCACTTGATTAAAAGAACTGGTGGGGAAAGAAGTTTTTTCTTTACAAAATATTTTATTACTTTTAAATGGAGGTTAAACTAAGAAGTTGTAAAGTAATAGTAGTCCTCTTTTTTTAGCATTTATTGTTTTTAACCGTATTCATGAAAAATCCCAAAATTTCGCTGAAATAAAAATTCAAGTCATTAGACAAAAAGTAATAAGCGTTTCGGCTATCGCAACATTTTGGAATCGCTTTACTTATTAGCTCGGTTTCGTTGCATATAATCGCTATATTTACTATATAATCGCTATATTTACTTTAATAAAGAATGCTAAAAAGTAATTACATGTAATTTCTACAAAATTATTTGGCAAGTTATGGCTTTTTTTCTTCTAAATCCCTTAGTGAATGTTCACTTTTGTTAGAAAACTGAATTAGAAAACTGAACGTGAAGAAATGAAAATCTTAAAATGTGTCTGTATCTGAACACATTTTGGTTTTATCATAAAAGTGAAAATAACATTTGAGATATTATAGGTAAGCTGTTGTAGAATAATATTTTGATATGTCACTACTTCTTTTTAAAATGATAAAATTTACTTGCCTAGCACACATCTGCTGATGCATGTAGTAAAACAGTTCTCCCTTCCTATCCTTTACCTTTCCAAACAATTCAGGCCTGTAAGTAGCTGGGTATACGAGATGCCAGTGCCAGTGATGGGCATTAATGCCAATATCCTCACGGAAATAAGCAAGGTTGTACTCGGGGTCAAGGATGTTACCAGTCTTTTGGATTGAGATGACCTGGAAAAAATATTCATTGAATATCTACTCGTTACGAGTATGAAAGTTTGAATGTTTAATGTTATAAAAATACTGGAGGAAAACATCATAGTTAGAACAAATATCCATAGATTTTGCTGCACATACAAGAGATATTATCTGAGTCAAATAAAATATTTATTCATTGGTAGGACACATTTAAAGCTTTTTGTTTTCGTTCTTAAATGCTTAGGAAACGTTTTATTTAATATAAAATATATGTTAGGTTAAAGTTTAAAATAAAATTCGTTGTTTTCAGCTGTAATGAGAGTACTGTATCACGACGACAAGCATTTTCTGGCACGTTCTTTCACTTGTGTGTACCTTAGTTTAGTAACCTTTGTTAAGTAACGACTGAGAAACATTAAAATATCGTAACTGAATTTGAAACGAATACATTTAATTCTATAGTCAGATCCAAATAAAAAACGCACATTGGAAAATTTTTAGCAAATTTAAAACGGCTCACTCTTTGACTTAAGAGCATTGATCAATACATAACTAAATTTGGCAACTTTTTTTGTATGCTATAATTTACTCACAGATGTTTTGTTCTTTATTTAATCTTTTCGATACTGATCATCATTCCAAAAAGAATGACGTTAAACGAAAGGAAAACAAAACTAATATGAAATGAAAATGTAAGTCTTCTGGAAAAATCTCAATGTATTTACCTTGGATTCATTCGTAGATTGCTTGTCAGCCTTCAAGGCTCGGTTGATAGTCTCTGCAGGAATGAACCTATCTGGGAAAACCTCTTGGATTGGAGGCAGAAAGACTCCACGACAGTCATCTCTGTGCAATACCACCACGGACAATGCGAACGCAAACAAGCCTTCATTCACGATATCTCTAGCTTGCTTAGAAAGGTTGATGAAATCATCGAAATCTTTTGCCTCTGTTGAAAAATAAAAGTCATATATGCATATTTTACATTTAAGAATAATCGAGTTATTTCAAAGTACAAAGAATATTTAAATCTTAAACTCTCACTAAAAAACTTTTCTAATTAGCTTATAACGATTTATATTTCTGTACAGTTAGCAGTTACGCGTTAAAGCTTTATGATAAAAAAGGCCCACCAGCGGCCGAGCGGTAAATTTCGCTGAACACTGGTAGTTCGGTTCGAGGTTCGAATCTCGCGAACGGGCTGGCTGCACGGGCGTTTTCGTGGTTTTCCTCGTGTGTAACGTGTATACGAGCCAGTTTCCCTTAGAAAGCCCTCCACGAAGGCATCCCTTCCCTTAGGCAGATAGCCCTAGTGTGCTTTGCCATAATTAAAATACACATACACATACACATTTATGATAAAAATTAAAGTCGATGTCCAATAAAATATTTCACTAGTTGTAAATTAATAATGCTTCAAAAAACATTTCGTCCAATTAAACTCAATTTCAAAAATTAAACTTAGAACAGTGCTTTTATTACTATCGGATATGAAAGGAATTTGGTTATTCTTAGGTAAAAACAGATTTTAAAAAAAGATTACTTTCTAATATTTACATAGGATTTACGTCTTTAAATTTCGGTGAGAATTAAAATGGGCTTAGAAGAATAGCTATTCGAAGTTTAAAAACAATCATATGAGAAAAATATATTTTAGCTCATATTTTAAATGAATTATCATTTTCTTTCTTTGTTCTGAAAACTAATTTTAATTAACTAATGTTATTGTTTTACTAACTATTTCAGAAAAACCCTCACGTTCTTATTCATATAGTAAATAAATTAAAAAGCAAGACGTTTACCTAATATAAGGTTTATTCAACACAAGCTAAACTTAAATTTAGTGCTTAGTTGATATTTTTATAGATAATATATTCCGCTTATTTCGTATATTAATTTACGAAACTTACATTATACTGATTTTTAGAGTATACTTCGTAGAAATATAATCTTTTCTTGCTGTACAAAGGAAATTTATGGGGAAAAGAAATTATAAGTTTTTAATTATATGTAATTAGAACTGTCTTACTTATGTGTTCTATTCAATTAACGGGTTTAATTAATCACAGTAAAATGATTTAAGGAAATTCATCCATAATTCTAGCATTAGAATTTCATATACAGCTTAAGCAAAGTTAAAACAGTTTCTATAAACCCTAGAAAGTAACTATACAGTGAATTTTTTTTGCATTTCGAAAATAACTGAAAGTTTTGTTGAGACTCTTAACGAAATTTTTTTATTTTAAGAAACTTGTAAGGTATCTTATGTTTTAACCAGTTATTATGATTTGATTCTTTACTATAGCCTCTCCTTTTCCTATTCGTCACCAGAATGAAAAGTAGCTTTGCGTGTATTTAAGTTGAGGGTTTTGTATCTTTATATTAGAGCTTTTTGTAACTTCACTTCTTGTTAGAACTTTCGCCAGCTGCGTTCAAAGTTAGCATCTCGCTAGCCAATATTTTAAATTACGCGCCGGTAAAATATTTTGAGTCAATTTATTTTAATGTGTAGTCTTAAACTACGTTACCAACGTTTGATATTAATGGTTTGTTATGTTAATTTAAACATCAAGAAGTAGTGAAAGTTTCGTTTGTAACACAAGTTGTGCCTTTATGTTCAGTTTAAAACTAAATAAAAAAGTTATTTAAAACTTCTTCAGTATTTGCGACTTGTTTAAGATTTTGCGACAACTCGCTTTCGTGCAGTAGGGTCCTCAGGATTAAAGCTTCCAGTTACAACAGAAACCTAAATACTTTATGACTACTTTTTCAAGCCATTAAAATCAAAGCAAACTTTCTTCACTCTCCTTTCAATGAAGATTAAGAGAACCTTTGTAAAAATAATGTACCATTTTTATTACACTTTATTTTCACGACATACCACACCTAAAAATTTGAGGTTAACAGTAAGTGGCTTTCAAATAGTATTAATGATATATTGTAAAATGCATGCCAGATATCTATCATGATTTTAATGCTGTATAAGGTATTTTCATTCTATTTCCAGCATTCGAGGTGTCATGGTAGGGTACTCGGAGGTGTAATGGTAGGAGCATATTTTCGAGAAGTCCACGGTTTGAGTCCTGGTGAGGGCACTGCACATTTTTCACGCCTCCTACTTCAAAAATACCTAATGACTTTACGGTGGCGCCTGAATTAAAAGGTGGTGGACAATAATTCGTCACTACCAGGATTTGGCGATTGGGTTCCTAATCCTCAGTCTCTCTTTAAAAGGGGGCGTATATAAAGTGTTTTTCCCTCCTTCCAGCATGCCTTCGTGGTATAACGGTAGCACACTCGGTGCGTATTCAAGAGGTCCAGTTTCGAGTCCCGGCGAAGGCATTACTCATTTTTCATGTCTCCTGCTTCAAAATATCCTAACGATTCTACAGCTGTTGTTATGAAATTCACAACACATGAGAATGAGTAAACTGTTGACATTTATTGACTGCTCCCAATTCGTTGTTTAAACATTGGAAAGGGAATTTTATTTAACTCATTTTATCATGTGTAATAATTTGGCGTAGTGATAACTAGCTTTCGTCTTTAGCAATGTTTGTCGAGCGCATAAAATTTAATTTTCATACACGTTCCGTGAAAACGACTGAACTAATTAAAGTAGCTAGGATTTTAAGACCATTTATTTGGTAAAGGCTATAACATATTCCAAATCTCTATTCGAATGGCAATTTACGCTAAACTTAATTTTACTTTTTTCTTCATCATAAAACATCTTACTTTAAAACTGCATACAGTTATTCAAAGCATATCACTTCTTCTTAAAACCAAGTCATTTAGCATATTAATTTTGAATTAATTTAAATTTCCATTTTCAAACCCAATTTTATTTTCTTTGAGAAAATATGTTCTTTGTAATTTATGGAATGAATCTCGTTCTACTTTAAACGTTTCACAATATTTCAATATTATTTTAACATCAATTTATCTGCTTCCCAATAATAATAAAAAAAGGAATATATATATTTTTAATTATTATTACAATTATTATTAACTTATGCGAAATCAACAATCTACTCTTGATTAAAATTAATGTGATAAACCCTTAGTAAAATTTGTCTGAAAACTAAACAACGAACAGATTAAAGTTATTTAATTGAAATCTGAAAACTATGTTAACTTGAAGCATAAATCAGTCTTTTTAAGAAATAATTGCTTTGAAGGATAAATCAGCCCTTCTTATAGTGACATCCTTTTTAAGTCTCCAAATTTTTACTGTTTTTAATACTAGTAATACTTTTTTTAATTGTATGTTAGAAGCTTCATATCGTAGTATGTCAGTATTGAAAAGTACAGGCATTAAAATGTTACTTAAAAAATCAATTGTTTCAAAGACAGCACGTGAAACTTTTTTCAGTTTAAATTTTTTCATGTCAGTACCAGTGTTAATCATATTATCAAAACTTACGAAGGAAAAATAAAATCTCTTACCATACAAAGTTTCATAGAGTGCTTGGGCCTCTGCAAGATGATCTTCGTGAAAGCATGAGAAGAGTTTTCCCCTCTGAAGTACCCCAACTCCTTTTAAACGCGGATCCCTTTCGGCCTCTGGTAGGGGTTCCGGTGACAAAGCAGTCAAATTCTTGAAGAGCGGGAGAATCTTCGCTTGCTTATCCTTCACAGGCATGATTGCAAAACCAGCTGTACGGCCCGAGCTTCAAACGATGAGGGAAGAATCCTCAGAGTGTCCGTGGGCTACAAGATTCGTTATAGGTTTATATACCAGGACAGAAGTCATACCTTCGAAGAATTGTTTTCTAGCATACTCAGGAGACTTCCCAGAAAGCCTGCTCAATTCGCTCGCTGAAAATAAAGCACACTGGTGAAGCCGACAGAACTATTTTCGGATTCGAACTTCCTTCATTGTCCGCACCTAGTTCCGGCAACACAGCTGGTGTAAATTTATTGGGAATATATATGTAATTGAATTGTAATTGACACCTATAGTATTATTATTACGTTTTAACCAACACTGAAAGCAAAAGAACTGACAAATAATGTAAAATCAACCCTACACTACTTCTGTACACATGCTTGATATCAGATTAATTAGCTATATGATAACCAAGTGGCTATTTTCAAAATATTAAATGCAATTTATGCTGAAATTGTACACTATTGTCATAAAATATTATCACTGACTGGTATAAAACATACTTCTTTAAGTGTCAGCAAAAGGTCTATTTATAAAAAGTGTTTACGAAATTTTACTTCACGCCTAGTGTTTCTCGGATATTTATTATTGTTAATCTGTTATAATTCATACGATTAGATTTAAGTATTTTTCACCGCAAAAGGTCCTGCCCGCACTGTGCAGAATTATTATTGTTATAATTTTCTTTAAATAAAGAATGAGAGACAGACAGAGAAAAAATATTTGAGGTAACTGACAAGACAAATGAGCATGCAATCGTTTCGCAGAGCAATTTTTATTAAATTTCAGTATTTTCCAGTCCTAAAAGCTAGTCAAATTTCTTTCACTTAAAAAAATTTTAAATATTGTTTGCTCTCTTATTAATACATTAACATATCTAAGATCCCTACTGCAACAAAAGTTACGATGCAAAAAGATTTTAGTAACAAACAATGAAATAAAAAAATAGACTCGCTTTTTTAGGAATTATAATATTTTTTTAACCAATTTTCATTTGGTCAAAATTCCTGAAATAAATTTTCCGTTCTAAACAAATATATATATAAGATATTTTTCAGAGAAGTTAAATTTTTATTTTCTTTCAGAAAATATAATACTCGTTTTAGAAAATGTATTTTAAAAGTATAAAAATGACTATGGCTATTAGCATCAGAAAGCAGTTCGACGTTTTACATAAATTTCATTAATTTCTTAAATTATTTTAAATATATTTTTTTAATTAGAGTATTAATATAAGTATATTTATAACAGATTCTTGCAACAGCCGCTCCAGGTCAAACATATATAGTTAAGGAAAGTTTCAAATTCTTTAACGATCTATTCATAATAGTAAAAGTTTAAACATTTCCCGTGAATAAATACATGAAATTAATGCATGTAGTCTACCAAAGTTTATGAAGTTTTCTTAACAGTAAAATATAATTTTAATAGATAATAATATTAGAAAGAAAGAGAAATAAAGGGAACTTTATAATAATATTTGAGTTAAAAGTGCGCTTAAAGATTTTCACCGAATTTGAATTATTTTTTAAACACTAAATAATATCTTTATTATTGATTTGCAATGAACCTCTTCATTCCGTTATCAAGTACCGACAACTCTGAAATCCAGATTTGTCATAACAGTAACCATTAGTATTTGTTGCTACGACAGAATAAAATTTTTCTTATACTTCATGCTTCGTACTTTTACAAAGCTAATAAATATTTCTGTTTCCATTAAATAATGCGTATGAGTATGTTTATTTTTTTCTTATGGTGAAATTATTCTGAAGTATAAACAGCACATACATAGTATATACAGATTTGGTTTCTCTTTAAGCATTTACTCACTTAATGTTTGTCGAAGAATCATACAAAATGAATCTGATGTGATATGATATCAGTGAAACTCAGGAGTATACTAGATAATATACATATAATTAGATTTTTTAAAAGCCAAAAAAAAGAGGATGAGAAAAGGAAGAAAGGAACTGTTCCTTATAAACAGAAAATGAGTTAGTTATTTCTACAAGCCTATTTATTAACTAGTGTTACTGATTCCCAAATAACAGATGAGGCAATGGACCGCAAAACATTAAAGTAGATAATTTGTGCTGAAAAGCACTTCTTCTCATCTTATTTAACATAATATTTAGCAACATATTAATGAAACTAAACTAAACTTTCATCACAACGCATTTATATCCGATATCGTAAAATAAAAAAACATAGAACTGCTACTATTTGTATTTGGCATTAAAATTAGTTTGTGCTAACGATTTAAAAGATAAAATTGCTGATTTTTTCATGAGCTAGGCAACATAAGCTATCCACCACCTTTTCTAATTTTGATTTAATTCTTATCGCTTGATTTTATATAATGTTACGAATTTTGTACATAGGTAGATTATTTTAGTAAAATTGTATGTATTAGTAAAATTGTTGTATTTTTCTCTATAATGTAACGTGGAAAGCTGATAGGAATGATACGCTACCGGGAAAATAAGAATACAGGTAAAACGTATTTAATATTGTGTAAATGGTTAGCTCGTTAATTTGGCGAGATATCGCTAAGCTGGCAACGGTTTTGGCAACTAATTTTTCTTGCCAAATTTGGCAAGAAATCCCAAAAGTTGCCACAATATTGTCTGGCCCGTGTATTACCGTAAATAGGTAATGTAACTAAATAATTGTTATTGATGTTTTGTGTAACTGTAAATGTATTCGGCTCTAATATGCCTTCCAATAATTTCGAGAAGCCGAAAGTATTAGAAAAATCTCGGCTGCCGAGTGAAAACTACAGAAGACCGGAGATAGCATCAGCCCCTCAGTTGTTGTTTTTAGCTGTTAGTTCAGCGTGAGTTCGGAGTACTGAGATATCGTTTAACGTTCTTAGCAGTTTAAATATATATATGTATATATTGTAGTTTGAATATATATATATATGGATAGAGAGAAAGAGAGCGCGCTAAAGACTGAAAGTTTAAATAACACATGTCTTTCTGGGATTCTTTCAAATGAAGCTACACTGGCATGCAAGCCTTAATAAACAACTAGGTTTTCCACCTATAGTTTAAAACTGGAATGAGATGAATATGAGAAAAACTTACATAAGGTACTTCAGGTGATGTTGAAAGTAACAAACCAATAATAATAAGGACAGAAAATATTAAAATGAAATTTTATTCAGAAATTGTTTAAAGGGATTATCACTGTGCTTGATTAAAATGATACAGATAAATCACTATCAAAAATTAAAACCGGAAGTATGTCTTTAGTTGCAAATATGATTACTTCGAATGGCAATCCATATTTTGCATCACATAAGCATATTTTTGAAGTTGTTGGTAATTTCATGAAATAATCTTGGCCATACCCTGTCACTGCCATTTTCAACTTCTGAACAATTGCCAGTAAATATGAAGGTATGGCAAATGTTTTCCCTAGGGTATCTCAGACGTTTTAAATGGAATTTCGATATAGGGAACACAAACGTATCCTTTCGATAAATATTCTCATTTTCTAACAGCATGCGTATCAACAGTGGCAATGAGATGGAATACCTCGGACCAGACGAAGATTGGTTTCTACAGAAGCTGTCATAAGTTACAATATATCTGGTTCCATTATCTGTTGATGTGTACTTCCATCCACGAGAACTCTTTGCTAGCCATATACATCCATTTTACTAATGTTTTTGAGATGACATCGTGTGCAAACTCTCTAGATTATCTTTTCTCATCTGTAAGCAGTACTTTATCCCATTTCTAGGCTATCTATGAAAACTTATGAGCACAAATAATATATGGGATTCACATCTGTCATTACACTAGGACAGAGTAGCTTAGAATTTAAGTTCTCCCAAGTAACTACGGCCGCTAATTTGAACTGCTCATATTAGTCACTACTGGTTTTCCAAATTAACTTCTACCCTTGCATGGGTAAATTCTAGTAGATAACAGAATTCTGAGTTTCTTTTTTTCTAAATATCTTATTAACTGTGCAACCGAAGTTAAAGTAATGTTCGTCGGCTATGTCTTCTTCTGGTTCTTAGAAAGAAGTGAAGAAAGCTGAAAAAGTTCAAATTCTGCAATCAAAGAATGTTTTCATTTGGATCAAGTACATTAGAAAAAAGCTCATTTACTGTACCTAATCACAAGATAATTTTCAGAAACGCCACAAAAATGCTTGCATATTTGTGATATTCATTCAGTTTGTCATCGGTTGAAGATGGTGGCTGTTCGCTTCTGATCTATTTCCTGTAAAAGCACAAAACCTTTATAGATATTTAGATCATATAGTAGAACACAGTATTGATACTGATCTTCATTTCCATTTGAAATCCATATAAAACATTCAAATCCGCTTACCGGGATCTCTATTCTGTTAAATTTTTATTTTACAGTCCACATTCAAGCACTTTTCATTTCTTCACAGCCTTTAAACTAGTCCAGATACTCACTTATATATAAAATTCACTTATAATTGTACTATATGCATGTAAATGTTTTGACACTCACGCAGCGAAAAAGTAATATGTGCGGCATTCATCGCATTTTCATAAATGTTTATATATCGGCAGAAGTGAATGTACAGCTTTTTAACGTGCAATAAACATACTTGCATTATGACTGGGGCAAACCCGACTTGAGGGCTTCAGGAGCATTTAAGTAAGCAACGTTTAAATTATAGAAGAGTTTTACAAAAGATTACACATTCCAGGGAGGTCTGTTAAATTAAAGACTCCAGGGAGGTCTGTTAAATTAAAGACAACTCTAAGGTTACGTAAATACTATTAAGAGTCAGGGTTTACAGCAGTTTTATTTATCAAAATGATTCAAAAATCTATACTAGGCAATTGAACTTAAAGTACAGGAATAATTTATTTTCTACTGTAAAATTCTATGTTTTAATGCAATTAATAATATATTATGATACTTCATATTTCTAAAATTCCCTAGGTTTATTTCGGAGCAAGAAACAGGAAAAATCAGCAATACCCTCGCCGGGACTCGAACTCCGAACCTCCCAATTCCTAGCTACAGGTGCTTCC